CATAGGGGCTCCCTGATGGGGCGGCCCAAGGTAACCTCTGACGCAGAGAGACGAGGAGAGCAAAGCAGGAGGAGGAGAAAAAGCGAGAGAGTGTGAATCAGACGCTGGCTTGGCACGGTCTGGGCAGAGCGCTGGGAGTGCCCCGAAGCCGGCCACAGGGGAGGAGGGCGAGGCTGGCACAGGGATAGTGCTGGTGGCCCCACGCCACAGGGCAGCTGCCATCACCCCGGGGATGTCCCGTCCCCGGGGAAACTGGCTGGCCCCCACGGTCAGCAGCACACAGGCATCCGACCAGGCAGCAGTGACTCCCGGAAGGCTGGTGCCATCCCTGTCCTCAACGAGAGGTCACCCTTGGGCAGGGGACGGTGCCAAGGGCTCCTCTCCTTCCCTCTCCCCTCACCTGGGCTCCACTTCTCCAGTGACTGAGAGCAGGGTCCCTCCGCGAGGGTCATTCGGGGCATCTCCCAAAAGGCCTCGGGGCGGCGGGCCACTAGCAGGTAGAGGTCCACGCTGCATAGGGGCCCTCGGGTCTGGCATGGGCACTGCCAGGGAGACACACAAGAGCTCGTGAGGATCTGCATGACCAGTGCCGTGCCAAGACTGTCCCTGGCGCTCTTGGGCTGTGTGTGGGGCAGCCTTGCTGCTCCCTGGCATGCAGGCAGGTGAGCTGTGCTGACCACTGGGGACACAGCCCCTCACCCAAGGCTGGAGCACACCAAAGTCCCTTCCCTGGCTGCTGCTTGTATTCCTCTCTTTCTCTCTCTGGCTCTGCCTCAGGCTCTTTATGGCACCAGGCGGCCAAACCAAGCGTGGGTGCCCTAGTGGTAATCCCTATGAGCTTGGGCATCAACACCCTGCTAACATGGGGCCAGGAGCAAAGCAAGACCTGGAAGACTCCTGGAAACGTGGTGTCCAAGTGGGGTGGACCCTAGGCAGAAGCCCTTTCCAAACAGGCTCTCCTTTTCCACTGGAAGCTCCCTGCATGGCTCTAGCCTGTCCTTTCCTCTGGCCCCAGAGGAAATCTGTCCTCCTCTCAACCCTGCCAAGCTACACGGAGTGATACACCAGTCCCTGGCCCTGAGCACAGCGAGGTGAAAGCTGCTCTCTGCACACTCCACAATGAACTCCACGGGAGGAGGGAGCTGGCAGGTGCCGGGATACCTTGAACGCGTTCGATAGACGCAGGCCTGGCAGGTCCCACGGGCGAGAGCTGCAGGTTCCCTGGGCAAGCAGCAGGAAAAGAGGGAAAGAATAGTGTGTGCACACATGCACTCAGCTTTGGGGACAGTGCTCTCTGCAGGATCACACTCCCTGAAGTCCCCAGGAAAACCTACAGAGAAGATGTTGCAGGTCTGGCTTTATCAACCTCTTTCATCAATGGCACCTCTGTCACCACAGGCGGTCAGCCAATGTGGCACAGTCCTTCTCTCAAGCAGGGAGAAAAGCAGGGCAGGAAGACATCCTGCCAAGAGAAGTGGCATTCTGTGGGGCCATGCTGGCCCCACATTGCACAGCCAGCTTCAGCTTCTGCCCCTGTCCACAGCTTTGCATGGCACTCCTCAGTGCCAGCTTTCCATCTGCTCTCCAAAACCTTTCGGACGCCAAGAACTACTGATTTGCTCTTGGGAAGACAGTGAAAACAAGAGTTGGCTGCCCCTAAGGTTGAAGCATCTCAGACCAGGTTTGCCACGTTCCTGAAACAAGGCCTAGGACACGAGTCAAGGCAACAGAGGTGCAGCTGCCCGCGTGCATCGTCTGCGCTGACCCTGGCGCATGGATTGACGGGGTGGCCACGCAACACGTGAACCGTAAGGAATCCGGCTCCGGGGCTGGGCCGTTCAGACCGTGCCTGCGGAGGG